TAAATATGATTTTCATGACACCAAATCACAAAAACCAATGCCTCTGTAAGAATGTGACTGTCTCTTGCTCCAGGTGAGGAAGCAGCACACAGACCGGTGTGTGAACTTCCTGGTCGAGGAGTTGAAGGTTGTGGACCGTGAGGAGGCACCCAACCACATTTTCTTTGTCTCCGCCAAAGAGGTGCTCAACTCTCGCATGCAACGTGCACAGGGCATGCCCGAATCAGGTGAGGGAAGCAGAGGGGATGCTGCATGTATAGTGTTTGAATCTTTACCTTTTATATAATTTACAAACAGGATATGCCGTTTATATTTATATCTGCTGTCTTCCCCAAAAAATTCTGGTAGATTTTTTCTTAGAATTTCCTTTTGCTTATTCGTGTAATGGGTAGAAAGTGGCACACATGTTTGCATTCCGAAAGATAATAATGATAAAAGCAGTAATTACAGTAATAGAAAATGAGACAAAAGTAATTAGAAATGTGTATTATATGTATATTTTGTATTTTGCAGTGATGGAAAGTACTTACATATTCATTTCATTCAACAGGTGGTGCTCTGGCTGAGGGCTTCCAGGAGAGACTGAAGGAGTTCCAGAGCTTTGAGAGGAGGTTTGAGGTGTGTTTGAATCCAAAAGAGGAGAAAATTATACAATCATTATGGCATTTATTAGATTTGACACTGATACTTTTTGTATGGTACCAGAAAGACGTCTCAGCGGGTACAAGCCTGAGGTGTGAAGTCAGGTCGAAAAAAGAACTGACCTCAGTTTGAGTTTTGATGAAGCCTGGTCGATGCTGGTTAGAGTGAGTTACTACAGGAGAGAGTAGAGGAGGTCTTTTTTCCCTTCATTCCATCCCGGTTGTTCTTTTTGAGGTTATTGTGCATTCAAAGACATTAGCTACAGGAGTTAGTCTCCCAACAGTGACCACTTACCTGACCAGTCAACGGCTGGCACATGAATTACTTGTGAGGTTTCACATTAACTGCACAGTTTCAGACCGGCCGCCTCAAAGGCCATGCAGTCCGATCACTGTGCCTTTTCCATCAACCTGCGTCTTCATTGCTGAAGTCTAGATTCACTTCGGCGAGACATCCATTTGTTTTTGTTCCATTTTGATTTTGTTCTGTCGGATCTGTACTGCCTGTTGAGTTTTCTTTGTGTTTCTGTGTTTTGTTGCTTTTAACTTGGAGAAACTGAATTTGTCCCTACTGGAGACATTTAACGAACATTAACATTAGTGGCTTCTGTTTTATAAGTCTTGCAGTAGATTGAGCAAAAAAAAAAAAAGTGAATTATCACCATGACAGACAGCTGATTATATGGATCCTAATGAGTGGAGAAATGTGGGAAAACTAAATTATTATAACAGTGTAGCTGCTAGTTGATCTAAGATTTTTAAAGGCTGTTTAAAAAAAGCAGCTTTTGAAAACAATTTCTCATCAGAACAACAATCTTCATGATCCCTAAACCAAATCTATCCCAAAGCAATACAATATTCTTGCGTATGTTGTTTTTTTGTCATTTGCTTTCTTGGTTGTATTCTTTTTTATATGTTTTTGATTTTTGCTGTGGCTCCACCAACACAATACTGTGACCTTAAAAACAGATTATGGGCTGTGGGACTCAAGACGCACACCCTGCTGCTCTCACTTTCATTCCTTAGTTTCCTTTTCATTTCTTCTCCTGAGTTAAAAGTAGCAGGTGTCTGTCTTGTCCTGTTCGTCCCCGGTGGCGTGTGAATGCACGCACCCTGTCCAGCCGCAGCCCCTGTAACTGTCACAGTAACGTGTGTGTTATGGCCTCGCAGGAGTGTATCTCGCAGTCAGCAGTGAAAACAAAGTTTGAGCAGCACACTATCAGGGCCAAGCAGATCACAGAAAAAGTCAAGAGCATCATGGACTCCATTAACATCGAGGCAGCAGAGAAAAGGTGAGTATCCTCCCATTTACATTTCTTTATTTCCTACTTTTCTAGTTGGGAGCGTGTTGGTAGAGATTAATTGCTAATCTGATTTTAATGATAATGTTAACTGATATTGTCCTCTCTCAATGCCATGAAGGGCTTGTTGAGGTAAACTATGAATCTGTGGTAGAAATATTGATTCAACCAAACTTCACTACTACTATGAATTGAACTTTCTGTGGTAAATTAAGATGCTATAGGATACATGCTTCTTTCTACTTTGGTCCATGTGAATCTTTACCTCACTGGTTTTTTAGCTAAATTGTTCAGCTGCTGGTTTGTATTTGTGACAACTTTCTGTTGGTGGGGCGGGGCTTCAGGGTGGCAGCACTGGAGGACCGAGAGTATCAGATGGACCGACTGGAGTTTGTCAAGAATCAACTCAACTTGCTGATTTCTGACATCAAGACAAAGATTAAAGCCATAAGTGAAGACGTCGAGTCCAAGGTAACGTAGGTGACAACTGGTTTTTAGAGCCCCTAACCGTCTGCCCACTAACTGAGTGATACATTTCAACCATTGAAAGTGAGTTTTGTGCTCAGTTTCACATATCAGGGTTTCCTGACTGTTTTAAAAAGTAAATAATCAAATGTTTAGGCCTTAAAAATTCTTAAATATGTTTAGGTTCTTAAACAATTGTTTAACGCAACTTCCATTGCCTTAGAGTTCTTATTTTTTTAAGATAAATGTTTTGGCGCCATGCATAGTTGGTGAGATAACGTCCATTTGTTAATGGATAGAACCACCTGGAATTACAATGCAAGTCCACCTGATCAATAAACCTATTTTTTCCCACTAGAACGTGACTGCAGAGCACAATGTTGTTACACACACCCGTAGATGTTCTATCAGAAATGACCAGTCTGTGGTCTATTTTTAGTTTGTTTGAGGTCTTAAGTGCTGCTAGCGCTGCTTATAACAGGACACAGAGGGCCTAGCTGCTCCTGTGCTGTGGGAGACTGATGACTGACTGTGGTTTATTCAGGTGTCCAGTGCAATGGGGGAGGAGATCTGCCGTCTCCATGTAATCATAGATGAGTTCCACTCTGACTTCCACCCCTCACCTCATATCCTCAAGATCTACAAGTCTGTAAGTAGCCACACTGGTTCATTCGTCACCTTTCCTGGGTACAGTAGATTACAAAGTGACATCCTCTGCTCTGTCTTTTTCATTGACTGTATTCCCTGTGACCTCCGATCCCTGTTGCTGTTGACAGGAGCTGCTGGCTCATGTGGAGGAGGGGATGGGGAAGAACCTGGCCTACCGCTGCTCCGACGCCGTGAATGCATCTGTCCAGTCTTCTCAGAGATACATGATGGGTAATTTAACTGCAACAGCTAAGACATAAATCATAGAAAATGATTGCAGTCACTCGATCAGACTCTGGTGTTAAACTTAGCCAGAACCCTTTGATCTCTCTGGCTATGATCTGTAACACCCTGCTCACTGTTATATTTACCCTCCTCACTGAATGCCATCATCCCAGAGCCCATCATGCTACAAATGCGTCACTGTGACAGGGATGTTGAAAAGGTGTTAATGTGCCCTCTGATGAAAAGGCTTCAGCTGCTGTTGTGAAATTGTGGTGTGATATTTTTTTGTTGTTTGATCCCTAAGGAGAGAAGAAGAAAAGCAGAGGCCAATGATAATGTGGTGATATTGTTCCCGTGATTACTGTTTGTGTAAATCTCATTCTCCACGTCTTCTCTTTCCAGAGAGCATGCAACCTCTGCTTCCCTCTGCAGCCCAGAGCCAGATCCACATGCTGGTACCCAGCAGGAAGTTTGACCTAAGTTACGACCTTAACTGCGCCACACTCTGCAGCGACTTCCAGGAGAACATCGAGTTTCAGTTTTCGTTGGGTTGGGCATCGTTGGTCCACCGCTTCCTGGGATCTGTCAATGCACAGAGAGCCCTCAGACTTGTGGACCAGAACCTCCAGGTGAGGAGCGTAACTTCAGAATAGAGGTGGTCACTTGTGCTCTGAGGGTGACTGGTGCGGCTTATTGGACTCACCATATACAAGATACAGTGTCAGAGTTCTAAATTCAGCATCTTATCCCTCAGGGCTCTCGACCAGCGCTTCCCGTGGCCCTTACTCCTTCCTCAGGACCCCCCTCCATAGTATCGCAAGCAAACCACGAGACAGCCCTGATGACCCAAGAGGACCTGATGGTAGCCATGGCAACAAATGTGGCCTCCCTAACCTCCCGCACTTCAATGAGCGTCATCATTGTTGGAGGAGTGGTATGTTGTTTCCTCAGTTGTTTGTACTTGGCGGACGCAAACACTTGACATTGAAACCATCCATGTTAATTCACGTGTTTTAACCTGTGAGTGCGAACCTCTGTCTGTCGGTTTTTTCTAAGGTATGGAGAACAGTTGGCTGGAGGCTGATTGCCCTCTCGACCTCGCTGTACGGCTTGTTGTACCTGTACGAGAGACTCACCTGGACGACAAAGGCAAAGGAGCGCACGCTGAAGCGCCAGTTTGTGGACTATGCTACAGAGAAGCTGCAGCTGATCGTCAGCTTTACTAGTAGCAGCTGCAGCCACCAGGTGCAACAGTAAGTCCCGATGCAGTTCATTAATCAGTCCTGTATTTAATAAGTAAAAGTATATCACATTTAAGATTATTTTCCGACAATTCTTTCAGTCTATCAATCCTTTAACATACATCACAAAAATGTTTTACGTTGACATCAAATGCTGATTCGTCTGAACCCTTCCTTAATTTTTTGGTTTATAAGCTCCTGACAAAGCCTGACTCTTCAAATCTGCTTTAAATGTACACACACGCACAGCCATGTCCCCACCCAGCCTTCCCCTCTGTTGTGGGGCTAAATAAATAACCAGTGCGACACTGTGCCCTCTTTGTTGCCAGGGAGATGGCTACGACCTTTGCTCGGCTCTGTCAGCAGGTGGACCAGACGCAGAAAGAGCTGGAGGCAGAAATCCGCCAACTGACAGCCAAGATAGATCAGCTGGAGACCGTCCAGAGCCACTCTAAGAGCCTGCGGTTTGTCCAGCTCCTTCTCTTGTTGGGGGGTAGTTTTGTCAAGATTTCTTAAGGTTTATCAATCAGACATATCTGCACATGTTTAGGACCAAAAAGCCTATTTATTATTCTGTAGCGGAACTCCACCTGACTTCATCCTGACTGGATGACTAACAGCTGTCAAAGAAAGAGCAGTTCTGAAAATGTGAAATTTACAAAAATAAATAAAACAAACTGGATGATTTACTTGACCTGTGTTTGTTTCCTCTTCAGACACAAAGCCACAGAGCTGGAGAGGCAGCTGGAGGAATTCACGAACCAGTACCTGCAGCCTCCGCAGTGAAGACGCTCCTCTTCATCGCTCCACACTTGGTTTCACGATGAGCCATTCATTCCTCAGTCAGGCGCCACCTCACCGCCCCTGGGCCTCCTCCATCAGCCACACTACACCACAGTTACCCTGTGGGCTGTAGTGCTGAAAAGTTTGGTCGGCTATCAGCGAAATATGAATCATTCATCGGGCAAGACGACTAAATCGTTTTTCAAATGTAAAGATGAAGTCCTTTTTTTGTTTCATTTGTAAAATTTTATGTTAATTCAAATCACAGTTTTTTAAAGACTAATCAATTAATGAAAAAAAGGATTTATAGACAATGAAAACTATCTGTGGTTTCTCTCTTAGCAAAGAGAGAAGAGTGAGGGCGCAGTCACGACAGTATTTTCCCTCATCCTCTGCCTGCCAGGTGCTTCAGGCGCCGGAGAAATGGCAGCAAACAAACTGTAAAACAAAACTGCCTGTAATAAAACGCTGTGCACGTCGATGCACCACAAAGACACGATAGAATCTCTGTCAGCTTGAAAATACAGATCGGGTGCTATATTTTGACACTAACGTGCTTCTAACTGTGAATATGCCTTTTTTTGACCTTTGTGGAGCAAATGAAGTCTGTGTCTGTCAGATTGTACATTGTTTCTGTTCAGGCACATGATCTACTGTATCGTAGCAAGAATAATAAATATATTTAATAAAGAAAGAGAACAGATTTTTCTGAATCAGAAGGGAAAAGTACAAATCCTGGTTAAGTAGGTTCAAAGCATGTCTTTAAAATGCTGTAGGTTCGTGTTCTTTTTTCTATCAAACAAAATTGTACAGTTAAAAAAAGCTTTGGAAAAGTCATATTTTATAAGATCCTATTTTATTTATATCCATCGGACTTGAGACGATTACACAAGTCGACAGTTTGTAAAATTGTTCTCTTTTTTTCTTGAATGAGTTGAAATATCTCCACATTTACCAGACTGTATTAAATCTGCCACAAAAGAAAAGATGTTGTGTGTTTATTTAAACAACTTTCAAAGCCGAGTTTAACAAACCAAATTTTAGACCACGATTGGAGCATTTCTTTTATACATGAGTCCATATGTTGTCTGTTGCATGAACAGACACGAATGCAAATCTGCAGCTGCAGAAATTCATATTTCTCAATGGGTTACACAGTTCTGCTGATCAGGAGTTGGCAGCAGGAACAAATCAAAAAGATGGAGGAAGAAGACGACTGACGGCCATTAAACATGGATCCAAACAATGCACGACTTAAAATAGAAAGAAATCTGATTTTGCTGCAGATTTGCTAAGACGTGGGAGCTGCGAGGTTGTCTGACTTTATCTGCCAACCTGCACCACCTACAGGAAGGTAGGATGTAATCATGTCAATGTTGGCACCTACAGGCAAAGAGACTAATGACTGCTGCAACTTCAAATCAATCATTTGTGTTAATTAGTAGCTGCTTGTCCAGAACTATTCTGCCAAGAAGCGACAGATATGTAATAATAATAAGTAGATTATGTTCACAGTATCAATTTTATCCTTAAATGCTCCTTGTTCTTGAATGAAACGATCATTTTCCTCCACTTCCTATTTTTATATAAAGAGAACCAGCCAGGATTTGTACTCTTGGTTAAAAGCTTTTTTTATTGGTTACAATAACTCATGGCAACATATCAGTATAACCAAGCCACTGTACAAATACAAAAAAAAGGTCTGGTGTGAAAAAGACTATAAAAATTATTCCATAACAAGTGATTATAATTTCACACAATAGCACTGTAAGAGAATTATCATGGCACCAAGTCCCTGGTCTTTACTGGCTTAAAACATGAAACAATAAATTAAAAGAAAACAAGAAAAAGTCTTAACAGTGGGTTGTAGAGTCAAAGGGCAGTGCATTATTTATGTGATGGTGCTGTGGTTATGTGATGCAACCAATTCAAGTGGTGAGGTGCCGAAAGATTTCTTTCCTACAATATTGACAATTTATGCAGTAAAACTTAAAACTATTTTTTTTTCATATTCAGCTGTTAAATGTGCTGTAAATAGTCTTTAAAAATACTGCCTGAACCTGTGCAGCAAAGACAACTTCACATCTCATCTTTCACGTTAAACGTTGGCACTGTGGGCGACTCGCTAAAAATCACCTAAAACACTACAGCCAGACACGTTTAAAGTTACGAGGATTAAAACAAGTCACAGATTCAGGTTGTGGTGCTTCAGACCTTAAATGCATTGAAGTGTTGATACATGTTGCAACGTCAGACAGCTCCAGATCAGTGGAGGGGTCATGGGTCTGAACCAGGTCAATATAACACTTGTGTGAAAGTAAATGAAGCCAAGCACCTCTTTTTTAATGAATGAGTCTACTGCACTGCTTAGGATGAGTGAACTGCACAGGCACAAAGTGTTATCTTACTACCCCAGGTTCCAGCTGCTAATACTGCTGAAATACACACACACACACACACTCACACACAGCGAGGACATGGCTGAATATCACTGTCCGTAAGCAGACGACCCCTTTGTTTACCTGGTAAGGGCTATGGTGAGTTTTTTTTAAGTTCACACAGTTAATGACGGAATCTGAAAGTCAAACTACAGAGACTTTAGAGGAATAGTTCAACACAATGGGAGATTCACTTTCTGGCATTGATAAGAGAGGGGAGTTATGTTTTCCTGTGAACCATGCTACTGACTAGCTTAGCTCCGTTTACCACAAAGACTAGATACTGAAGACAAAGTAATTTTGCTCTTAAAAGTGCCCACAAGCTCCACAATTCAATAATTGTAAGCATACATAACTCTTGTTAGTAAAAAATGTATTCTATTTATTTTTGGGCTGTGTTTTCTATCAATAAAAAGTGAGGCTAAATTGGCAGGAAGAAACAAATATGAACAAATTTTTAGACTTTGTGTAATTTAAACTTTATATAGATACAATTATCTCCGATGTCTATCCCAAATAAATGTTCATTAATGCACTGAAAGAAAAAAGATGCTTCAGAAATTGCTTAAGAATAATCACAGTTTTCTTTATATCAAATATCAATTCAGCTAACGTACGTACATGAGTACTCTGCCAACAGGAGAAGCCGTTTGTGAAATGGTAAACGTATAGGCCAAAAGCTGGTCTCGAGTTCTAACATTTATAAAACTATGCGAGACTGGTCAGGATCTCGTCAAGCAGCCAGTTTTGATGAGGCATTTCCCAAAGCGTCAAACTATCCCTTTAAATACTGTCAGTCCGTCATTGTGTCACCTCGTCTGAGAACACATGAACATCTGATGTCCACTGACTGAAATAGAAACTGGAGTCTGAGAAGCAACTCAATAACATTTCGGGATACAAAAAGCCATCTTCAGATATAAGCAGTCCAACTCTTTGATCATAGACCATTAGAAAATCAGATGTGTGATTTTTAATTGGTGGATATGGAGAAGACTGGCACTTGAGTAAAGTGAGCAAACATGTTCTGTTTTTTTTGTCTTTTTTTGTCACATTGACTAGTTCACAGCTCAGGGTCTGTGGATAACATTGGCACAAAATGAGGAAGTAACACTTAGATCTATATGTTATCCACATACATCAGCAAATCGACCCCGTTCCCTTCCCTCCCGCCCCCACACGCACACACCTCAGCACTGATATGCGATACATATCTCATCCTACACACCTCGAAGATATTCTCAGGCTTAAAACTAGAACTGTTATTTTTAAATTCTCTCCAAATGGATTCCTTTAATGCAAAGCTGGGTAGAAGCAGCTAAAACTTAAGAAAAAAAAAAAACATGGTTCGCCAAATAGGGGTTTCATTGACAGCTGATGAATACTACAAACTGCACAGTAGTAGTAGAAAACAGAATTGTATAAAAAGTGATGCAAAACTCTTGCTCTAAGAAGCAGTATGGCGCTGCATGTGGTTTACTGTAAGCATGCGTTTAGTGTTCACTAGTATCAGAATGTGCTTCTATCAGAAAAAGAAATAGCAATCATCTTGTTGATCAGTGTGTAAAAAGGAATAGTAAGAGGAGAACATTACAGTTGTCGATGCACTTATTACCTTCTTTTATGAATGGTATCGTAAGGCAGGATGGAGACACTAAATTGCCACATCTCAAAAGGAGCACAAGCCCCGTCTTTATCCAGCGCATGTGGGTCAATTGTTAATATTCAGAGATAGGCACCTGAGACAGCTGATGGATAGGTCCAACTCACGCACATTATTTGTTTTAATCTATTAAAAAATGAAGCATTTAGATTAGAATAACCAAAATAATGGAAGATGCCTGATGAGCAAATACTCAAAAATCAGAACTACTATATCTATGGGTAAATAAGTCACGTGCTCCATGGTATACGTTTGTACTACAGTTTGTGAGTGCATCTCTAGCTCTCTACTAAATGTACATTTCTGTCTACCAAGTGTACTCTCTTCACTAGCAATATCTAACAGTTCATAACATGTTTTTGGTGATGAAAAAGAAATTGCTGAGTGTTAAACCCTTCAATTTTTTTGTTTGTTTTTCTTTTTTTTTTTTTTTTACAGGCTTGTGGTGGCACTGATGTGTTTTTGGAGTGGCTAACATGATTTCAGTCCCATGCAGTCACTCAGTTCACACCTTGTTAACAACAAAAAGGACACATTGATCCTTCATTTAGGAAAGAAAAAGAAAAGGACGTGGTGAGCACTGACAGACACGTTTCTCACTCTTCTTCTTTTCTCTCGTACTCAGAGGCCTCTGACAAGAGTCACTGCTGTCCTTTAATAGTCCTCCCATGGTGACTGAGCAGTCTCCGTTTCTGTAGAGTAGTAGAGAGCAGCTTCTGCTCAGGGAGAACATGTCTCGCAGTGTCATTTGTATGGGCGACTTGAGATGTTCATGCCAAATTATAAAATAAGTGTAGATTCAGAAGGCTACAAGAGACACGACTATTCAGATGCAAATGATGTTTAGGAGCATTACTGGGTTATTGATCATTTCACAGCCGTTTGCATGGAATGGCTGTCGTCTTCAGATATTCAGCATCTGATGATTTGGAATCACAATCCTCTCAGGTCGAGGCCAAAACAGGGCTTCCAATAGAATAACACTTTCTTATTTTAGCCTAAAATTCACTGGTTTCTAGTTTGGAGCTAAAGCTGAATTCAAACTAAAAACTTAAAAACAAAGCTTGTTGGTTTTAAGTTCTGTCTCTAAAATCACAACCACAGCAGTGTGACAGTTTCCTTCCAAAATAAAAGTCTGTGGTGAGGAATGCTCAGGGTCGTGTTGTCAAAAAACAAACAGAAAGAAAAGAATGCCATCACACCAAATCATTCACAGGAAGCAACATTTAGAGCTGCAGGATGCACAAGTTATGCCCACTGCCTGTGACCATAACACACATATAAATGAGGAAAGCGAGTTGAGCAAAGCCAAATTATATTTTTCTGAAAATTGTTCTGTTTGCTTGTCATTAGCTTTTTGTTTTGCTGCTTGATGAGTGAGCTTAACTGACGGCAAATGCCAGAAGATTCAGAAAATTTAAAGGAAACTTTTTGGGTCAACTTATGATCCGTTGCTATGTCGAACTTGTCTGACAGTCAAATGGGGCAAAAATAAATGTTTCTGGCATTTGGATGTGTAGTAATGTCAATAAGTGCATTTGAAATAAAACATAAAACCCCCAAAATTATATTAAAAAAAAAAAAACTCAAGGGTGGGAAATAAACTACAAAAATATATACATACACATTATATATGCATATATGATGCATATATACACACATAATGCTATACATATATACTGTCTTTATATATACATTTACATATTACACACCGACAGTCATCGCATTTGTTGTTAGTCATTGTAACAGACGCCCTCTCTAGAAGGACGAAATCTTCTACTTTTTCTCCTTCAGTTTTTCATAACTTTTACTTTAGTTTTGATTGGACAACTCTACTGGACGGTTCTTATTTTTGTGTGTGTAGTTGGGCAAAAAAGAAAATCACTTGGAAAGGTAGAAAGAGTCAGTACTTTCTCTCAGGTGAGCAGGAGAGACAAGAACTGGGGGGGAATGAAGAGGATTTTGGCTGACAGTGTGCACCCCTCAGGTCCAGCCCAGCAGATGAGTTGGGGGATATCTTGGGTGGGGGGTTTGCAAGGTGGAGGTTGGCAGGCAGTGATTGGGTGTGGCGGGGGAGGAGGTTTGTTTTAGTTCCAGATCCGGAGGAAACTGTCCCAGGAGCCGGTGGCTACAGCCATGCCGTCTTCTGTCACCCCTAAACAGCTCACTCTGTTGTCGTGGCCCGCCAACACACCTGGAGGACAGAAAGACAGAGATTCAGAACATTACTTTAAAAAATCTACAAGCCAAAGTCAAGAGCCATTTAAACACGTAATAACAATTACTCAGAAATAACAATTTAGTCTTAAGCTTTGAAAGAAATTTAACAAACATTTCCACACACATCCCATAAGAAAGACTCTGGAGTTTCCCTCTCTCATGGCCAAATGTGGGTCATTAAGTCATTGTGATCATGAAAAGAGGAGAGGACACAGTCAGATAGAAAAAAGATGCTCTTTTTAAAAACCAAACTTGGAAACTTGAGTAGGATACTGTTCACACTTGATCAGATCATTTTAATTTTGGGGATTTTGTTGGCCGGTTGGGTCTTTTCTGCACTTCTCTGCTGCACTTGAATTTGTGTATTTTCCATTAATCACCTTGACTATGACTGTCCACTTCTAACAATAACATACAAGATCATAGAAGAGATTTTACAACACTGTAGACACAAAGATCCACCTGATGGATTACTGCGGTGGCTTATTTACTTGCCTATGAGGATGCTTTGGACGTAGATGGGTTCGATGAAGTGGCTGAGCAGGGCACCCTGGTATCCGAGCACCTGCCACTGTGTAATTTTGTCTGCGGTGGACATGCTGACCGCAGTGGAGGGAGTGTGGTCAAAGGATGATGAGAAAACTGAGAACACCTTCAGAAGAAAAAAAAAAAGAAAAAAAGATGAATCACGCCAACCACATTAGAAATCTTGTTGATGTGTAACAGTAAATCACCTTGCCCTCCACTGTCAGGTGCAGGCTGATCTCGTTGTTGACTTGCCATGCTGAAATGGAGAGGGGGTTGAGACGCCTGAGAATAAAACACACAGCAGATTTCAAAAGCTTTTAATCAATATTCATGCAACTTTACCCCAAATTTGAATTTTTGACCTGACTACTGACACAAACAATCACTACATAGCATGAGGAAGGATTGTTGTGCCTGTGGCTAACCTATTTTATCTTAAGCAGTAGTTTGTGATACAAGATGTGTTTCACTCACTTACACTTGTACTACAATATTGGGTAAATAAAATATCCAACCTAGAACTGCACTCAGTAGAGCCTCACTTCTAATATTTGGTCTTACTCATGACCTCAAAACTTGTGTCTAATGAGTAGCCAGAACAAAGCTGACAATCAAAACACTTACAGCCTGGATGGGATCTGAGCTGCACCCTTAGGGAGTTGATTCACATAAAGGTGAAGGCTGATGCCGCTCTTCAGGCTGAGGAGGCCACTGCTGCAACTCTGCTGGAAGACCGACCTCTCCGTCAGATTGGCCGTTTTGCTGAAGAACATCAGCAGGTGCCGGTACAGAAACCTAACAACACAGAATGAGAATAGCCTCATGGGAAACAGAAGCTCATATGCTGCCATCAGTGTCTAGAGGAGCAGATCTGCATCTCTAATAACCCAGTAATACAAGATAACAAGTTTTGAAGAGGAAACTGTAATTGACCTCAACAACAACAACAGGAAAGACACACACTTTGTGAGGCATAATCTGCTTCATACTGTGGTGTGTGTGTGTGTATGAATGCATAAACCTACACCACAGCAGCATAGCATAGGAAGGTGTTAAAGTAGATATGCAATATTAATATTCGTGAGACACTGATGAAATATTTATTGGAATCGTTAACTAATTATCCATAATTTGCAAGATTGTTTATAAAAGTTGAAAAAGCTTCTAGAATATGTTTTCATTATCATATTGCTCTTCTTGATTTTAACTGTTCACTGCATTAACACAGTTACATTGTACAAAGTCTTGTTTCTGTCAGTTTTTGCTGCCCGAAGCGCCTGATGCAATATCGGGACAAAATTCTGACCTTCATATTGCATAACCACAGANATGTTTTATGAGATAATCTGTGATAGTCTGAAAATCTTCAGGATTTAGGAAATTGTGAAGCTCATCTTCATCATTTCAATAATAGAATGGCTTTCTAATGCCACAAACATTACTCTACATTTCCTTGTGTGTCTCCACATGAGTCTAGAGTGACCAATTCTTATTAGATCTCACTTCCCTTCTCTATAAGCAAATAAACATGTAGATCATTCTATTCTCAGACCAAATGATGTCATTTTATCCAGTCAGACACCAAAGACATACCTGCACTCAGTGTTTGCATGTGTGTATATGTGTGAGAGTGGAGCCAGAAAGAGAATTTAGACATCATTTACCTGCACGCTCGCCTTTCAGAGTGTCCCAGACATTGCAGTTGAAGTCATCGTAGCCGGCCAGGAGCAGACGGCCGCTCTTGGAGAAAGCCACAGAGGTGATGCCGCAGATGATGTTGTCATGGCTGTACGTCATCAGCTCCTGGTCGGCACGCAGGTCAAACAGCCTGCAGGTGGCGTCATCTGAGCCTGTGCCAAAGGCGTTTCCATTGGGGAAAAACTACAGGAGACAACATGTTTAAATTAAGCTGAAGGAAAGTAATGTTAAGCCTTAATATTTTGAGATACAGGGTTAGTTTCTCTAGAGATATATTTTAATCAAAAAGCTTCTTGTTCTTCCCAAAGTGATACAGTCATTCCAGAGGGAATAAAAACATGCACCTTTAGTGACCTGCCTTAAAAGGAGCAGGAAATATTTCCAGTAAGGGATCAAAATGATCAATACATAGTTAAATGAAACATAAAGACGCTACTACACATTTCACAATTGATTACGACCAAAAAAAACCAAGTGAAAATACATCAATATTAGCTTATCAGGCCAAAAGTAGTTTCTTTTGGGTTCATATCAATGAGTCTCCTCTGTATTGGATTAAATGGAGGATAAACTATTTTAATCATTACAGTATAGAATCACATTCAATCTACAGCCAGACTCAATCCACCTTCCTGCTGTGTGTTTGTCACTAAAAGTCCAGTACTCACGGTGACAGCGTTGATGTCGGACACATGGCCGGTGAAGGACTGCCTGCACATTCCATCACGGATGTCCCACAGCTTGGAGGTGGCATCACAGGCTCCTGACACAAAGGTCTTGTAGTCAGGGCTGAGAGACAAACTCATTACGTCTCCTGTGTGGCCAGTGAAGGTGGTGGCCTGCTGGCCTGTCTCTATGTCCCACAATGCACTGCGAAAAAAAGATGTTTTGGTGAGGAATGATTACTGAAAATGTTCCCTGAGTTATTACGAAGGTACAGCTGGGAAGTAAAGGGCACAGGAGACTTGTGCTTTTATGTACATTGGCAGATTACAGTTGACATGTGTTATGTGCCAATTTAATGTCAACGGAATATTTTCTATCATGTGAACAACCTTGTTCTTGAGGACACAATGCTGCTGACTCACCAGGTGGTGTCTCCAGAGCTGGTCAGTATCTGGTTGTCATCCAAGAAACGACAGCAGGACAAATAACCTGCAGATAAACAGAGGTTCCACATAAGATAGGAAAAGATCTCTCCTCTGCTTTGTCAGTTCCCCTGAGCAAAGCACTTAACTCGTAACCAGAGCCGGCAGTTACTGAACTTTTACTACTGTGCCAATCACTGATTTCAGTTGTGGTCAAGTAGTTAAGCTCACACAATAAAATAATGGTTGGGCCTGTATTGAAATATCAACATAAGGCATGATGGAGAGCTGCCCTCATGTTGTGGTATGATAAAAATACATTCACTGCAATTGTCTTTGTTTACAGTGAGCAAGACCTTTATCATTCTTTAATGTGGATTACAGCGTGCATGAGTGTCAATCTATGAAAACAAATTCAACAAACATAAATATATTGAAGTATAAATAAACAACACGCTAAGCATAAAGGTTGCATGTCGCCTTTTACTTTTATTTATTGGCCGGTGGCCCTGTGCTCACCTGTGTGTCCAGGTAGCTCTCGGGTAACGCGCACATTGCCTTCACGGGTCTTCAGGCTGTATATAGAGCAGATGTTGTCCAGGCCTCCACAGGCCACATAGTTCCCGGAGGGGGCGTAGGCGCATGTCATCACCCAGGAGGAACGCAGAGGGATGGCATGCATCTATGGACAAGGAGAGCCAAAGTCATCTCTTTATAAAGTGCAATAAGAAGAAATAATGCTGAGTTTGAAGGCTAATTTCATTAAGTTAATGAAAGGTTTGGAAGTGGTGTTGTACTTTTAAGTATTCATTTCCATTTCAACATCAACATCAGGGATCAGATGGTACAAAGACAATAAAACAACAGGACAATTTAGGATGGTCTGTTTTTTCCCTTTGAATGTCAAAACATTGTATAAGTAACATCTCCAAATGTCTATTTAGTGTAGTTATAGAGTTTCAGGTAAATAAAATAAATATGAGGCAAGAAAGGCACTGTAAATTAAACAAAAATGTTGTTTACAAAGAATTATGTCATTATATTGAGGTAATAACAAAAATATGAGTTTTCTGAGTGAGGTTCTCAATGTTTTAGAACCTATACGTTAAACATGTTTTTCTCCAAATACTGTCAGTATCTTTGCTCTTTTACCTGCCTGATTATGTATCACATAAACTATACTGTGGCCTCAAATGGAAGCTGGACAGTTTAATTCAACTTGTAATAAGTACAAGATATTACAAAAGACAAAAAGGAAAATCTGATGGGAGTGACAAAGATACACTACTTCATGTACTGCCCCTCAGGTTTTAATACATTTTATTTTTGTACAAATATTACTTATTCATCCCATCTTCCACCCGATTACTAAACAACAACAAGTAGGAGCACAAATGTTTTAGATTGGTTTTAGCTGTTCACGCTAGACATGTGAAGCAGAGCATGTTTTATTTTTTGGTAGGATCTTGAATGGTTTATGTTTCATGTATTTACCGTAGACTATTGGGCTGTATGTTATGTGATGCATTGGTTTAGATCCCAAGACAGGTTTCCCATTGGGACAAAAAGGATACGATAGCTTGCCTTTTGTTAAACATTCTACAGTTGAATATCAGTAATCTCACCTTATTTGTTGTGTAGCTGTCCCAGATGATAAGCTTTCCATCCTGCGAGGCACTGACAAGTAACCTGGGAACAAATGAAAAAACATCAACATGAAAGATAGCTCACATGTTGGAAAATCCACATAATCTAAGGTACATGCACCTTGTTCATTAAAAGCAATGAGAGCCAGCCACTTTACAGACTACTGTACTACATTGCTGAATGACTACAAGGTGCTCCGTCTAAAAGCAACCAGCTCTATAGTGAGCTCCCTACTGCTCATTTCCCTCCATCATCCCTTTTTCTCACTCTCCTGGTGGACGTCTCCTCAACCAAGGAAGCCACTTTAAATGTCCTACTCCATGCAATATTCATCACACTGGTTATGTAAAAGAGCCTGCTGTTGGGTGGGAGGTGGAAGCCCGAGGAGTTGGGAAAGCACGAGAAACAAGCTGTGATGGGACAGCAAGGAAAGAAAAGAAATAGAAGAGGAGGAAGTGACAGTAACAGGGAGGACTGAGTGCTGGAGGTGGTACAGATGCAGAAACAGCTGGAACCCTTCCCTAACATCCTGACTGCACGTTTTTATCTCGCAGGGGACAGGAAATGGTTTGACGGTGCTACGCCACAATCAAGAGGAGGGCCATCAAGCGCAAATGTCAGTGGCTGTATACTAAATAAACACTGGTGTCCTGCAGGGTCACCCAGGGGGTGTTAAGCACACATGTAGACACACTCACACCAACACCCACACATACTTAACAGAATCATCTGGACTGAACACTATGAATAATCACAAGTCTATGCTATTGATAATATCAGAGTTAAGCTTTGTAATAAAACACTTAAGGCTCATTTATGCTCAATGACAGATCCTTACACTGACAGAGCTTTCTGTTTATACTCTACATTCATTATGTGCACATCTTCTGAAAGCTAACAGATGTGGTCTTAACGGAGCAATACCACTGGAAATTGTAGGGGGGCAGTGTCTGATAGTTCAAGCTCAACAACCATAACACACGAGGAAGAAACGGCAACAATCGCAGAACTTTGAGACTTTACGAGTTGGTAAGTTGGACCACTGCTACAAAACGGCCGCTTTTGTCTCCGATTTATGAGGTACATTATCACAACCTCCTCCACCGTCGCCATGTTTGTCTTGGACAGACACGCTTGACTTCTGCATTGCCCTCTTGTGGGTGTATTGCTGAACAACCATGCCAAGGTAAAGACTGCATTGGAATGGGCAGTGACATTTGCATCGTTTGAAACGGTCATATCTTTTTTATACATAATGGCAGCATAAATGAGCCTTTAGACTCAAGCAGAAACTTAAAAAAAATGAAAATTATGATTTAGAGTGTGACATGTATGTCTTTAAAATCTACAAATTGTAACTAAAACAACATCTACTTCTTTAGCTACATCCTCTTCCTATTTCCAACATTAGTGTACTGCATGCATAATAAAAACCGTGGCTGATTACTGGTTTCTGTGCTCAAAATTGCAACAAATTGTTAAAAAGGCAGTTTGAATTTAATAAAACCCCAACCGTTTACAGTAGATCTTACAAACTGCATCTTTAACTAAATGTTAAGCTGAGGTGGCTGTGTGTCTCTGTGCCTGGTGAATATCATTGCTGTGCTCATAGTGAGGGTGTAAATTAGTGCTAGCACTTAGACAGATGTACAGTAGTAGTGGAGGTGGCAGTAGTGACAGTCATTTATGGTGGTATTAGTCATATTAGTAGAATAGTAGTAAGTAGTAGTAGTAGTAATAGTAGTAGTGGTACTGGTAGTAGTATATAGTCCCACACCTGGGACTGCCGTCACTGTCCCAGTGCATTGCATTGAGAGACAGATGGACAGAGAGAAAGATCAAGAGTGACACAGACATATTAAACACATAGAAAGACAACTTTTAACATCAATGATACAACAACAGACTTGAACTCCTAAATCATATATTATTGTTTCAGTGTATAGTTACAGTGATAATATGCTGTAATACTGAGAGCTGCTCTACTAAAAATGGTGAGTCAAATTCTAGTATACCAATCAGTGTTGGTTTTTGTGTAACTATTAGTCGAAAAAATTAATAAATTCTGGCAGTTTTGGGGGGACTGATATTTTCACTGCTGGATTCTTGCACTCTGCTTTAGATGTGTTCATGTTTGGCTGGAATAAAAAAACCTGCAGACTGTCTAGCCTCGCTGGCACTTTAATGCCCATCCCTGGCATATATCTTGACAGTTATAGTTGTAGTGTTAGCATTGGTCAAGGTGACTACTAGTGCCAGGTATTGACGATGGATGAGGGAACGTTTAATGTTCCTGCAATCCACATAATATTAGAAAAGAAATAAGGCAAATGGTGGTCATTGTGTCAAGCACCTCTTTGTAGTTTCTCTTCTCCTGCTTTAAAAACAAACACTTAATGAAGAAAACAGTATAAATCTGCAGCACTCACTTCCAAACATTTTCAAGAGACAAGAAAGAAGGTTGAATGATTGTAGAACTCATCTGTTATTTGCTAAATGGCCTGAAAATTACAACAAATTACAAAAAATAAACAGCTTGAAGCAATTAATATTGTTCTTTGTAGAATTATTACACTACCTGGAGTCGCTTCCCCAGTGCATTGCATAGATCTTGGCCAGGTGGCCCCTGAGAGTGCGTCGCGTCCGCATCTGTATCCGGCCCACTGAGTCCAGACCAGCTGTGATCTGCCAAAACACAGGAGGTCGGGTTAGCAGTGACACATGAATTTCATACGCACTTACCACCACTGGACACTAACTGAGCCATACAGGCCAAAATCACTCAGCAGTGAACTGTGAAGAATTATAGTGGTGGTTATTACTGCTGTATAATATCTGTGTGTATAGTCTGTGTAAGAACATATTGAGAAGCTGAGGATAATCAGAAATATTTCTAATGTTTATTTTGACCATAGACTGTATATAAAGAGAGAGACGATATGACTGCTCCCCAACAGCGAAGCCAAATTGTATTGATTGCCCACGGCTGGCTGCTGCATAGGTCATAAACCCCACCTCCTCCATGTTAATGGATGGGACTTAGACAAAACTAAAAAGTCAAAGTACAAGTCAGACAATTTTTTTTTCAAACATGGTTACTGTCATTTAAGGTAGTTCATATCACACCAATGTAAGTTTAAGTGTAAATTTTTGTGTAAGGTTGGTTTAAATGTGTCATTTGATGCAATAAAAACAGGGTGACACAACATGATTGTCAGTGAAGACTGAATCACCATAGGTCAAGTGTATTGACGTGACCTCACTACTGTGGCTCCATCTGTGATTGCTACTGTGCAGACTTTGGCTCCAAATACACAAAATGGTGGCATTCGTATCCAGGATATTTTACCTTCCTCTCTGGATAGTGTTTGGAAATGGAGATGGATGACACATCCATCTTTATATACAGTCTACTATTTTGAAAAATACAAAGCTTAACTCTTGGATTTCCCTGTATAGTGTTCTGCCTTGTGACTATGTAAAACTACAATTTATTACACATTAGCCATCAACTCATAGATGTTGAGATGCAAACGTGTACAGGAAATCTATTTTTTTATTATTTACCCACTGATGTGAATGTGAACTCTTACCTGTGACAGAGTAGAGTCGCTGCAGGCTTTCCTGGCATCCTGCAACAAAACAGAAACCTTAAAGATCATGTCGATCAGAGACAAATTTCGGCTTATTCAGCTATCATACACCTTAATTAAAAAGAAGCAGAATGACAGACTTTAAAAAAGTGTCTGAACATGAACAGTTATTGCCAGGGGTCAAATAATAAACACACAGGAGTGACATTCATAAATCAGTTCCTAGATTCTAATTTCTCAATGGGGGTGCCTGATTGACAAGTCATATGCAAAGTGCGTCAGTGTCTCATCATAAACTGTGCGAGTCACAGCTTGTAGTGAACAGACAGTGGCACACGTGATGTACACACACGTACATAACTCTCAATCACACACACACACACACACACACACACACGCACGCACACGCACACTCACACACACTGTTGCCGTACCCGGATCTGATTGCGTAGTTGCTCGGCTTCCTGCCGCAACTGTTCCAGCTCACTCATTGTCCCTCTGTGGTGTGGTCACGTCAGACTCTGCTCCAAATACCGACTGGCCTGGGAAAACACACGTGCCTACACGCGTGCACGCACACACGCACCCACACACTCACGCGTTTTTACCAGTTGACACCTGCAAGACAGAGAGACAAAAATACTTTGAGTTCATCAGGCGGACGGACGGAGAGTGAAGGATGGGAACACTTCCATCAGACAAACATAGGTATCCTGTTTGGGTTCAGACCAAAGAGGAGGGTGCTGTGGAGAGTTGGGAAGGGCGGGGCCGGGTTGGGGCCTGGAGGGTGGCCTGGCTCTTCAAACACCCCCAGTATGGTTCAAAAGGCCATCTGAGCCCGGCTCTGACCTTTTCTGACTCAATCAGCCTTTTGTGTTGTTGCAGTGCACCGTTTGCTCGACCCAGCCCAAAGAGCCCAGAACATGCGTGTGTATCTTTGTGTTGGGAACTGCAGGCAGCTATCAGGGGTTTATTAGACAATAGGGCCAAGTGAGAACAAGAACATATGTGCATGTATTTATCAGTGAGTGCATTGTATGTACATTTATTTGCAAGTGTGTCTGGGTTTAGTGTGTCAAATTCAGTAGCATCTGTTTGTATGTGCGTTTGTGTGCACATGCATATTGCTACTACATTTACCTTGGGGAAAATGAATGTGGGTCATGAAGCACTTAGACACTCCTCAGAAAATGTTTGGGCCGCGCCCCCACCCCCATTTTCCAGGCTGTTTTACAGTCTGCTGTCCAGAAGTCTAACCCTCCAAGATTAAATTTTCATTTCCATTTTCTATAATTTAACAATTAGACTGAGTCCAGCAGTTCCTCTCCACAGGAAATCATGGAGGATACTTGTGCTTTATATTCATTTCAGGATTTAAAACCATTGGGGCCCATTTTCTTCTTCACCATTAAAGAAAACCCTGTCTTTTTACAAATAGGAAATTATTATATTGAATTAGTTCATTTACCAAAGAAGATATTGTGTAATAATCTGTGTGAGAAGCTGCTCCTATTAGATTCTCAGTTTCCTTGGTTTTGGTCATTGTTCCTTTTCTCCGCTGACACAAGAGAGGATGCATTGGACCGCTCATTGTGGACTCTTGTCTCAGCCAAGGAGGCCTTTGACAGTAACGAGGCATCAGGGACAGCGAGAGTTGCAGTGCTTTCAGCTGCCCGAGAGTGACGTTACTCCCTCTGCCGGATGACGCAACCCCCCTGAAGAGAGGCTCTCAGCGTCAGCTTGCCTGTGATGTGGTGCTGCTTTATTACTGCCATGGATCCATTCACACTTTATGCCTCTGAAGTCTGCCACGTCACACGGAGCGCACTGTGGACTACCGAAGCACCCGATATGCCCTTCTACAGTCGTCTAAAAACATTTTCAGTCAATGTTTTCAGGCTCAGGCCTGTGTTGCGAAATGCAACGGAGAGACACAGGAGAGATGACATGGGAAATAAATAAAGCAGGTATGATGGAGGATGATGCTGAAAAACAAGATGCTTCAGGGGCTTTCTCTGGTGTTAAGACAAGCAATGGGACTGCTTTATGGGATTGCCACATGAATCAGATTTAGATACTAAATATTAGTCACTAGAAACCAAAACAGGACACTCAAAACTGAAACTATCATGAACTGCCCAAAGAAACTAATGCAGAAAAACTATCCTAACTAAAGCAAGTTTAGCTTTAACAATTTATAGGTTCCAACCTCAATCCCTGTGAGTGTGAATATGTGTTTTCTCCAGCTGTGTTACTTGAGTCATGCAGCCACGCACCCAAGCCAATACAGGGCCAGAGCATGGTACACGATTGGGAATGACAAAGGCGGAGCTGTGTGCTGGAGCTGCCCATTGTTTAGTATTAGGCTGCCAGCTATAGTAGATAGGGCTGCTTGGCACCACCACAGACTGTGGCCACAGGAAAGTACACTACTGCTCAGCCCCACTGGCACAAACCAACCAACCAAAGCGGCCCATCCAACCTATTGAGCCTGATGCTCCCTGCAGTCAGCAGGAGTTCCCAGCTATCATAAAACTATGTGCAACCACATAATTCTCAGACATTTGTTATCCAGAGATGCAGACATATTTGAGAACATAGGCACTTGAAAAATTAAGAGATGTTCCAATACTGATACCAGCATCGGAAATACATCTGATACAATCAAACACAAATGCAGGAGTGAGTATTCAAATCTTTGTACCAATTCGATACCATAGCCTTCAGAATATTAGTTCCACTCAGACAAAACCGCTATCTTCTTTTCCTGCAAATCCCTTTTCATCGATCCAAAACAGCAGTTAAGTTGCACTGCCACTACCAAGTAATGTTTTTAGTGCGGCGTAGAAGAAGTGATTTCTGGTAGTGTAGCCTTAGCAAGAGCAACGTAAAATGTCAGCAATTTGGCAATATTTCACAGTGGAAAGTCCCACAAATAAATGCTGACGTGTACCGAATGACAGACTTCAGTTTCTAGAGGTGGCACAAGAGTTGCCAAATACAAAACTAGCAATCTCACAAAGCATTCTAAGACCTATCACATGAAAAAGCATGAGTACTTCCCTGAGATAAAAGGAAAAAAGGACTAAGTGCAGCAAAAAAAGTCAATTAATTTGACAAAGACAGCCCCAAAATAACAGAGATACCCAACAAACGCAGTACAGTAGATCAGTACTCAATGTCGGTTAATATGCAATCTCCAGGTATTGGACTTGGTATCAGGAAGGGAAAAATAGTATCAGAACTGTTTACTACATGGTCAATGCAAAGAAGAGGTGAAGGTTCATTAATACATGACTATTACATATAATGACCCCTGTTAAACAAAGCAAATAGCCTTTAATTCAATAATCCATCACTCAGATAATCATTATATACTATTATAGCATCATCCTCAATCTATGTCATCACTGAAAATAATGAGAAAAACAGATTTTCCAGATCTTCTTCTAATAGAGAACTGAAATTGGCTTTTTTTTTTTTTACAATTAATTATTTTGATTTTGCAAAAATAATAATCCTTAGTTGTAACTTTGGTTGTTTTCAAACCAGGGTTTAAGCGGTTTTAATGGGTACATACAGTTTTACATCTACTTCAGCAGACAATATGATTTTAGCTGCACATGAACATTATCAAATGTTTCTTTTGAACCTGATCTGTGAGACCTCATCCTTGCCGGTTACATACAGTAGAAAGTCAGTCACATCTGCTTCAATCACCAACGATACTATAATACAAGTGAAGAAAGCAGCAGGAGGTGCAGGCAGTGCAGCTGCACCCAGAGCCACAGGGGCCCAACAATATGAAATGGTCAGGAAGCTAAGGAATTAACATTATGAAATGCCAGGTCTGAACAAGTTCCTGCAACATGGCCCACCAAGAGGGCTTTACAAAAATGCTATGTTAATTTACAGTAAGATTTAAATATTTATAATTATGAAAATCACAAATTCTATAAGCTGGACTATATTTAACTTTCTTTGCAGTGAACAAACAGAAAATAGATGGACATTATACACTGACGTTTCTTCTCTGTTCTGATCATTTTGAATGAGGTTTAAATGCAAAGAGCTCAAACAGCAAAAAGTGGTTAATTTGGAATATATGAATGAAGTAAAATCTTAAGTAGTGAGATCTTTACTTATCCTTATCAACTGTATGTATTTTTAACTCATGATAACCACTGGAGAAATGTGCCAGAGATGCTCAATTATTCATGAGAGAAATTTATTAAACTGATTTTAAAACAGAAACTAGAACTGACTTCCTTCACTAGTAAAATATTAATAACGATATCAACAGAACACTCAAGAAACACAACTAACAGTTGAATCTGTTGCTCCAGATTGATCTTTAGCAATTTTACCACATTTTTTTCATTAACATCTTTGTGGATCGTATGCTTATATTGTAGTAAACACTTTCAACTATTGACTCCGCAGTTATCTAAACATTTTACCCTTTTTTTAACCATTTTGGACTCTAAACAAGGAATTGATAAGAACCGGAATTAACATGCAGAATCAGAATAGATACAAAAAAAAGATACTAAATCCTACACCTGATCCTCCCTTTACAGTTTCTATTCAAGAGCCTATTTCTGAAGCTATAAGTGGATATGCAAAATGAGCTCCACTGAAAATCAATGGTGAGCTCACTGCTGTTTGTTTGATTTGTGAAAGTGAGAAGTATATGTAGGAAGGCAGATCCACCAGGTGTAAACTTGTTCAGGTAACATGCTAACTATTCCAAGCATCCAGAGAATTGAGGAAATACCTGGTCAGATTCCAGTAAGGTGAACGACTACTCGTCTTTCTTCTGTTCAGTCGATTCGCATTCACAAAATATCCTTTATGTTTCATGAACACCGAATTAGACGTTAAGAGAAAGTTTGAAATATTATTAAGATAAACGGACAGGAAGACAGCCAATGAGTAATGACTGTTTGTCTTACTTTGATCACAGGTATCACCCAACCTACACCAGAATTACAGACAATGTAGTCATAGACCAGTCCTCATTAAAGTTACAAGAACCTGATCTAAATGACATTCATATTCTGAAGCCAGAGAATCCTTTGACGTAAAAGTTTGAGATTTTCTGTGAACGTCTAGCTGTTGTTTTGTTGTTACCACAACTGAGGTGTGGTTTAGGTTAGGTAACATACAGCTGTACTACTAAAAAAAGATGAGCAGGAACATGCACTACAGTGTATCTGAATCATGCTATAAAAGGGATTGTTTTTCGGAAATCAAGATCATACAGTACTGTACTATAATGATCAGTGTTTCTGTTATTTTATGCACTATATCAGTGTGGGCAACAGAAACACCTCTCAGTATGATGTATAATACAGTTCAACATGAAAAACCTGCATGTTATAGATTGATTTTACAGTTTAATCATGACCTCACTAAAACAATTTCAACAAAACACAATATATTAACCATAATGAAGGTAGGTACAATAGTTATAGATTGTACGTTGTATGTGTACATTAAAGTGTCAATACAGAAAATATATATAAAATCAGCTAAAGCATTTCAAATAAATCAGTCCTAGCATTGTTCTCACTGGTGTGTCTCATATATATTGCACAAATTGTTGTTTCTCTAGACTGGACAAACTAAACACCTTTTGAGTTTTTATAACAACCGAAGGCTAGCATAGGTTCTATTTCATGTTTGGAAGGGTGATATTGGGCTTGGCTACATGTACTTGTATAAGAAATTTCAAAAATAATAGTAATGTGCTCATGTGTTTTCTTAATTAGAATTTGGACAGTGTAGTATGTATGAGTTTGGATGGGGTACAGAGTATTACATGTGATGGGGTAGGTGTTGTGAGCCCGGCTTCAACCTACATCTATCCATCATAATAAGACTATGGACACCATTGGGTAAAAACCACCAAATAAACTCTAGATTTCTATAGATCTATAGAACTGTAGAAGCCGACACGATGGACTTTAACAAAGTGGAACTTCATATTATCTATAGATATAATATATACGACAGTCAGCTGCATCATATGGAGACATCTACAACATGCATGTAAATAGTATGTTTCTACAAATCTGTACGAACCGATGACAGAGTGCAGATTTTCTGATACGAGCGACAAAGTCGAGTCGTCACGCAACCAGTGTGATGAGGGCGGGCTGTGCGTGCGTGTGTGCGCGTGAGTGTGCGTGTGTTCGATGGGAAATGGAGAGTGTGGGGGGGGGGCAACACGGGGGTTATGGTTATAACGCAAAGGAGAAAACATCTGTATGAAATGTGAAGAGGTGTGTGTGTGTGTGTGTGTGTGTCGGTCTCACAGCTGCACAGTGGTTGAGCAGTCAGAAGAAAAGGCCTCGTCTGGACGTGGAGCGGTGAATGTTCAGCAGGAACAAACCAGCGCTGAGGCAACAGTGTGAACAGTTATGTCAACAGCTCCACTGCTGCGAACAGGAATCACTCCGGCTAATGTCGACACCTCACCCTCAGCTACATGAAACCTGAACAACACGGCAGCACGAACCGGCCCAAGAAAAAAACACCCAAGAGAGAAAAACACACCGAGAGAGGGACGAGAGCTCACGTCCTTACCTGAAACAGGCTGCTTCTCTCGGGCTCTGTCCGTCCTCACAAACCGGTCCAGTTCTCACACGGCAGCCATGGTCCCAGCTGTGAGACGAAGCCCGGAGGCAGCCGCGCTCATTTTAACTCGGTTCCACCGGTTGAACGCTCGGGATCCAGCGCGACTCGGGTCAGATTTGACTAAAAGAAAAATTTTCACCAACCAAGCTAATCACCACACCCATGAAAGTGGGAACATGGCAACAGCCTACGCTGAGGGGTGCGCGGCGGCGGGGATAGTGATATTTCTCTTTTTTAAAACCACTAAAACACACGTAAAATGGCAAATACTTTCTAAGTTAGCTTTTTAGAAAAGTCAGCGTTGACAATCACTCGGTATTAACGTTCCGTCTGGGTTGGTGGAAATGTTTGAAATGTGTGGGTTAACCTCCGGGCGCAGTGGTACGGTCTGGCAGCCCCCTCAACAAAAAGGAACCGAATGGGATACAGGAAGCTAATGTGAGAGCTGAGCTGTGTGGCTGTAGTGATCCTGGTGGACCTCACCACTGTGTCACATACATTCAGAGATGACACTGGTCCATTTGTTCTAACACAACACCGAATCCACCACAGCGACGGTCAACACACAGCGGAGAGTACAGTTCCATCTGGACCATACATGTGATTTATCACCAATTGTGACTTTATGACCACACCTGAGTTCATCTGAGGTTTAAGAACCTACAGCTGTGCTGAGAAAGAATAAGGAGATGTACAGTGCACGACTCGTTACAGCCGGTTCACCGGATTTAAAGAACCGAATATCTGTCTGTCATTTTTTCAGATTACTCTACAATTATTGTCTCTCCCAATTAATCACTGATCGATGACATCAGAACATGTTCACACGCTTGTCACACCTCCAAATATTTTCATTTTTACCATAATAGAAGATGAAGCGTAAAAGCAGCAAACCACTGCAAGTGTCAAACAAACAGTATTTAACATTTTTGATTAAAAAAACAAGTTGTTGTTGTTGTTATTTTTCTTTCACTCAACTATTGATTAAAGGTTCAGTGTGTAGAATTTAGTGACATCTAGTGGTGAAGTTGCAGTTGCAGCTTAATACCCCTCACCTCAACCTCCCCTTCCAAACATGAAACAGAACCTGTGGCAGCCTTCAGTTGTCATAAACACTCAAAAGGTATATATGTAATACATGTCGGCCTCCATAGAGAGGACCCGCTCCTGATGTCAAATATGAAGTATTTAAATATGAAGGGCAACAACAATTTCTACAATTTAGATGAAACTCACTCGTGAAAACATCGTTAGGATTATTTTATATTCAGTTTCTGCCAAAAGATCCCTTTCACCTAAATCTTACACACTGAGCCTTTAATCAACTTTATCTTATCAATAGTGACTATACCTTTGGCCGAGAGCTTCATTGTAAAGTTACAGAATAGAGTTCCATTTTTTTCAGTTTATTCTGTATGATTGTATCAGCTCAGTAGTATAAAACACTTAAATTAAACCATGTGCAGAAGGTTACAAAAAAATCTATCGTGGTTATATTACATCTATTCCAAGACAACTGTCTGTTCAGTGCCCTTATTATGAAGGCTGTAATAACACAAAGGTACGGAGGGTTTCATTTCAGTCATTTATCAAACAAATGGTAAATTAATAAGAAGCTATTTCCAAACCACCCAAAACATAAAGTAAGAGGTTTGAAAGGTTTGGATTGTGCCAGGAAACAGCTGTGCCAAGTCTCACCCCGGCACAGCGCGGTGGGCTCATTGAAAAGGATTTCGCCATTAGGACAGGATGAATTTTTAATGGGCCCAATGAAAGGGAGCAGTGGGATAGGCTTTTCCATTTCTCTGCACGAGCCATAATCAATGGAGGGAAGATGAAAGTTGCCCAGACCTTAGTTTCCTTTCGGAGTGGCATGGGGTCAGATTAAGTCTTATTGAATTCACACATACACACATACACACAGACACACACACACACACACACACACACACACACACACACACACACAGCAGTTTAGGTGTGCCAGACCAATTTCCCCCAAAACGCATACCAAGGATTAGGTAACATATGTTGTAAATGTTTTTATAGAATTTCTTGGAATGGTTACAATCCCAGAACATGTCTGAATATCCTCACGTACAGTTTAGAGAAGTCAGATGACACATGCCAAGACACATCCACAAATCTATCAGAGACCAATAGTCTTTAAATTCGAACAGTAAATATGGCATTTGATTGGTTTTCTGTTATTGTTGGACGATCTGAGATATGACACACAGGTTTTTGCCGTAGCTTGTTTTAAAGATGACGCAATCCTGGGTCAGCCAAAGCTTTTTGTTGTGTCATGTCTGATGTTGCCCAACAAATGTATTAATGATTGCTCAAGGTAGATGTAAATCATGCAACATGCAATATAACTGCAGTTCAACTCCAGTCATGCATCATGTCTAACTACATGGTTTTTTCAGCCTTTTGTGGACCAGGGATTGAGGGAGTTTGCTCTCCAGCCTCTATAGTGAGCAACACGACTGAATTCATTAGCCAGCTGAGAATCAGAGTCAGGGTGTCCAAAAGCACACCCTTGGCCAATCAGGTCCCTTGGTCCATTGCTTGGCAACCAAAAGGGAGGGAGGGAGGGAGCAAATTGACACTGTAAAAATAGCACATCAATAGCCCTGGTGTCTGAAAAAAAAAAAGAAAGACATACATGTTGTTGGGGCTATAAATAGTCCCCTGGAGCCTGGAGCAGGTAACGTGTCTGTATCTCAACTGTATTGTTTCCCACAAATGAGACAATCTTTTGCAGTGATGCAAATTCAGCATGGGCAGGGCACGAGAAGGGGAGCTCAAAGTACAGTAGCAGTCACGCAGCTGAAGGAAATATTTGAATGTGAGGTTGGTTTTACAACCGAGAGGAATATCAAGAGTTTTCTGCATCCCCTCATATGCAAAGGTACTGCAAGGCTATGCTAAAATAAATAATTTGCTGCACTATAACAATAATATGGTATTTTACACTGACGCTTATTAAGGTATATTTCATTTTATAATATAAATATTTGTGTTTATTGTGTAGAAACATTATGATAAGCCCTATTCTGCATCCCCTCTTAACATATAATCTCCTTGCTACAATGCCACGCTGTACAAATGATCAGCACACTTGTCTTTTGTGTAACAGAGGAGCATTGTGGCTAAAAATAGACTATGGTATCTTGTCCAATTCAGTTTCACAGGACTACTCAAAAATGAGCCCGATACGTGGGTGATCAAATCAAGTGGAGATAATGGGACGTAAATCCGGAGCAGCTTCTCGATGCCTATTTTTATTTACACGTTCCCATTTATTCTTACCCACATGTGGCGACGTGCCCTGACGACCTCTGTGTAATACTTCCACTGTATCAAAGGCAATTAAAAGGTGTAGCAACAGTAGAACCTTAAAAGGCTTTATCAGGGCTGTCTTATCCACCAGACATCTCCCGGGGAGGCTGGCCGTTGCCAGGGTAACCCTCACAAATGGCAACTGACGTCAAGAAGGTAGGAGAAATACCAGGGAGAGCCAGAGCTGCTATGCATAATGGATTATTGAAAAAAGGGCCCTCTTGAAAAGTGCAAAGTGACTTAAAATATGCGTGCCTTGCTGCGCTCACTACCACTTCTCTCTCTGTTTCTCCCTCTGTGTGTGATGAGGAAAATAGATGTTGACAGTTTCAGGGTTTTTACTTGCTGACTGGCACAGCTTGGGCTTGGCCGGCCCAACTGAAATTATGCATCTTGAGTCAAACACTGCTGATGAACCAGCTCTTCACTGGGTACATTATGTTTTTTCCCAGAGATTGGGAAATTCTGCATAATTTTTATGCTGCTTATGACCATAAGTAGTATTTTCCTAAGATGGAAAATATGCTTTTGTATCTGAATGTGAACACATTGCAGATAAAGTATTCTGCCGTGTCCCAAAAGTAAATGATTCTTCCTCTATGCTAAAATTAGAACGTGTGGCTGTACCTGCACTGCATCTTACCCAATCAAAACCACAGAAAGAAAAAATCTGTCACCTCAGCGGTCACCATCCCCTGTGGATCCTTCATTGGTCACGTAACGAGGATCCAGATTTACATTCATGCATACAGTTCTCAGAAGTGATCACTTCAGGTCATGTTTAAGTCCTAACTACCAGTGGTTTTACTCTGTCGGTCCTATGTCAGGTTCTTGTCTAATCTCGGAGCTATTGTTGGCCCATGAGAGACGGTCACAGCGGCAGCTTGCTGAAGAGCCCTCATCATTTCTGTGATAATGCCTCTCATGTTGTGTTGGAGTCACACTATCGACACCAAGTGTGGAGTCAGGTTTGCTGATGGCAAAGTACAGTTGCTAGCGAAATTAATACAGCAGGACGGAAAAGACACTGACATGGTGTCCACCTTTGAGTAGAGATGGTAAATATGAATAAAAATGCTATTCTCTATAATCACCATTGCCCAAACCTCCAAAGAAATACATAAAATGACGTATTTGACTTGTGTTATTTAAAAAAAAACATATTTATGTTTATGTTTTAAAGTTGAATAGAATTCGTGTTCAACCCAAATAGAAAACTCTTAATCTCACCAACACATAAAATCAGCACATATAACATTAAAATAAAAGTAACACAAAAAAGGGACAACGTTATATTATAGATTAAAATATTCTGACATGCATGTAAAAAATATTCATATATTAGCCTTGTGTTTGTATAATTCAATATTCAAGAGGTTTCCTGTCACAGCATCTGGATTAGCCTGCTCTCAGTAAAAGCACCTGTGACATGAGGTGTAACACCAGAGTGAATCTGCCTGAAGCTTTAAGTTGCAATTCAGGGAGAAGCTGCAGAGGAAATGTGCAAAGAGAAGAAATGAGAGTGTTTCAGTCCAGGGGAATCCCATCCACTTCTGTAAACCAGGCGGTGCATCAAGCAAAAATAACATGAACTAACATCCTTTAAATTTTCTAGAAGTGACATGTTAAGTATGGGGGGAAAAAATTAAAGGAAGTGAGGAACAGCCCTGATGTGCTAATGCCCCCCTTTTCAAAAGCCTCTCATCTCAGCTGCATCACTGTGATACCAGATAATCACTAATTTATTACTTGGCCTCATAATTATTTCATTTGAGATTTTGGTGCACCACAGCTTCAGAATATGAGGTGTCACCTCCCTTTTGCATAAAAACAGCAGACAAACCCAGATGCCGGTAG